CCTCATCCCTTGCTCTCTTGCGCTCGATGCAGCAGTTCAGCATCTGGAGGAGGTGCACAGTGAAAACACACGAACACTCAATAGTTTGGGGTCAGAAAGATTTCTGAAAGAGGTTCTTCTGCTCAGCAAGGCTGCATTTATTTGATCAAAAATACAGTAAAATTGTGAAATATTATTAGTTTAAAACAGCTGTTTTCTATGTGAATCTCTGTTAAACTGTAATGTATTTCTGTGATGCGCAGCTGTATTTTCAGCATCATTACTCCAGTCTTCAGTGTCACATGATCTTCAGAAATCATTCTAATATGCTGATTTGCTGCTCGAGAAACATTTCTGATTATTATCAATGTTGAAAACATTAATATTTTTGTGGAAACTGTGATGCATTTTATTTTTCAGGATTCACAGATGAACAGAAAGTTCAAAAGAACAGCATTTATTTGAAATATAAATCTTTTGTAACATTGTAAATGTCTTTACTTCACTTTTCATCAATTTAATGCATCCTTGATGGATAAAAGTAATTAGTATTAATTTCTTTTAAAAAATGACTGCAAACTTTGAACAGTAATATATAAACAATCATTTACTCTCCTATTGTTGTTTTCCTGTGTGACTTTCTTTCTTCTAAAACTGAATCACATTATTAATATAAAGTAAATTCTGATTTAATGTTGATTTTACTACGTTTAATGTGCCTGCTTTCAATGATTTGTAAAAATAAGTAAATCATGCTCATGAAAAAACTAAATATAACCTATGGACAAATTTATAGTTAGATCAAAACTAGATGAGATTTATAAGAAATCTAACTGCTTAAAAACACCTTTAGTTCACACATAACGCTGGAACTGAAGGTAAAGTGATGGTATTTGCACAAGCAAGTTGGTTTTACACGAGTATGGTGTGTGTTTGAGGCTGAACGCTGCTGGTGCTGTCGTGATCGTGTGTAAGCGTGAGGAGCTTCACCTGCAGCTTCTGATGAAGAAGACAACACCTGAGATCCGGAGCTCCGCAGGCCAGCCTGAGAGAGCAACACACAGCTTTACTCATTAGCACACAATGACACGAGCAGGGGCGGACTTACCCATTAGGCAAAGGTAGGCGACCGCCTTCACATACAAAACTGAACTATTTTAATAGCTGAAACAGTAGCAGCCTATAAGCTTTTTTTGGGAAAAGGGGAAAAAGACGGGCTAGGGCCTATTTGAGACCGGTGCAGGGCTTTAATCCACTTCATCCAACGCTGTTTTGTTCTCATCTGTGAGCATGCTCTTGATAGGCTATATGTATTTTACCATTTTGTTGAGTTTAAAACGTGTGCCATTGGACACCACTATGGGGCACCATTGTGCAGCAGCAAGCATCACAACAAAAAAGGAACCTCAAGGTTGACACTGTGAGTACCACGAGCGCTCAGACTGACCTCAGATCTGCCCCGCAAACATTTCAGCAGTTATCATAGGCCTGTGTCGAGTGAACCAGCCATGCCATTAATTATTAATTTATCAGTCTTTTGCATGCCAAAGTCAATTTCTGCATAGAAATATTAACCAAATAGAAGCAGAAAATCGTGCTATACTACGCACTTTCATGAGATCGGGTTAGCCTACAACAATTCATTTGTTGGCTATTTTACAAATGGGAATACAACGAATTCATGACAATGTTTACATTCAAGCTACCCGTAAAATGTATAGTGAAAAGTACTTTAAAAGCGTCTGGAATGCAATAAAGTCATTTTAAAGCTGTTTTTAAAGCATTTGCAGCATGGGTAAAAAAAAAATAGGCTAATAAATAATTCACATATACAAAATCGCGTTGCAGCAAATCCTTTAAATTTTCAGGTATTCAGAACAGAGCAACATAAAAATCAGAAAAAGCAGCTATACAATTATAGGACAAAGTTTTACACATTTACACGCCATTATAATTTGTGTTTTATTTTTTAATTGTACGGAATTATAAAATAAAACGCAAATTATAATCGGGCCTGTTTTAGGCTTTTCCTTATTTTTATATTTTAGACATCCATCAAAAAAAAACTCTGTGCATACCCTCAAAAGAAATCCTGCAGACGCCCCTGGTCTGAGTTGAACGTGTTTTTTGTGTATCCTGCTTGAAGGAGATGAAAATATTATACATCTGAAGCTGTAATTAAATATTGAGAAACAGTGTGTATTATGTTTAAAAAAAATGCTCCAAACGTTTTTCTAAATTTACTTTATAAAAAAACAAAACGAAATATAATCACTTTTCCATCACATACAAAACTGAACTATTTTAATAGCTGAAACAGTAGCAGCCTATAAGCTTTTTTTGGGAAAAGGGGAAAAAGACGGGCTAGGGCCTATTTGAGACCGGTGCAGGGCTTTAATCCACTTCATCCAACGCTGTTTTGTTCTCATCTGTGAGCATGCTCTTGATAGGCTATATGTATTTTACCATTTTGTTGAGTTTAAAACGTGTGCCATTGGACACCACTATGGGGCACCATTGTGCAGCAGCAAGCATCACAACAAAAAAGGAACCTCAAGGTTGATCTAGGAAAATGTGTGAAAATGTATAGGGCCCCATTCCTATATTTTGCCTGGGGCCCCCAATTCACTAAATCCGCCCCTGGACACGAGGGTTCTTGTTCCTCTGTGAGCGTCATCAATGATCCGGACGACTGCAGCTCGTTCCCTACAGACTCCAGTACAACAGCACAGCCACAATCCATCAGCATTCTGCATTCATTCAGAGCACAGATGAGCACACGCCACTCTGAACTATCTGATCTGATCGATCAATAATCACGTCTGCTTAGCCGATCAGTTAAAACATCTCTCAAGTAGAGTGAAATCAAGTGCATCATTCACTGCAAATACATACAGTACATTACAGACACATACGGGCTGGAAAATACATTGGATATTTATGCTACAATTGATATTCTGTTGGTGAAATGAAATGAATCACCGCTTTAAATATGATGCTGATTTTAATGTGCTTGTTATTTGGCCATTAACTGTCCTACAGACATCAGCACTGAAGCAGACATGAATCCTGAGTGTGAGAGCGTTTACACACAGGTGAACTAACAGCATTTCTCTTTTAAACAGATCAGGCCAGATTGATTCATTTCTGTGAATCGGTTCTTTTAAACTGATTCACATCAGAGCAGATCCAGGACAAATACACATTCAATCCACTCAGATGATAATTATGAAGTTATAATAATGGCTCTAATTCTAGGAACAGAAGTCCACAATGCAGCTAAAACATTAATGACAGAGAAATAATATCATTGATCGAATCTCTTTCAGAAGGATTTTTTACAGCTGATGAATGATAAAAATTAGAGCTGGGTTGAAAATATTGATTTCTCGATTTCAATTTGATGAACTGATATTGATTCTTGAATCCCAAGATTCGATCTGTGTTTTCAGTTGATGCGTGAACAAAAGCTCCATCCAATAAATCCCAATAATCTTTGTGTTTTGTTACATTTGATATGAAACACAGTCTCAGCTTTCAGATTCTATCCATTTTAACACTAAATTCAAACAATAAATGTGGTTTTGCTGCTCTTTAATGTGTGCTGGCAGATCACTGTAGATTATCTCTTCCTCTTTACTACTAGTTACAGCAGCAAATAAACACAAGAATCAGATCGTTCTTGTGGTGAACGTCTTGTGTGTGAGAGTGTGTGTGTGAGAGTGTGTGTGTGTGTGTGTGTGAGTGAGAGTGTGTGTGTGTGTGTGTGTGTGTGTGTGTGTGTGTGTGAGTTCCTGTTCAAGACCGAGACGGCAGAAAGCGTTTTTTTCTTTATTTTATAAAAGCACAACGTTTTGTCAATATTGTGAGTGCACACAAATAAAACTAGACCCTTTACAGTTTAGAATGATGTATTACTCTTACCTT